TGAAATTATCTTTCTGTACGTTGGAGGATAGATGATGCAACATTTTTCCCTCATCCAGGTAAAGAGGTGGAAGTATTTGCACTCAGAATATTATACACAGTGGTAGATGTATTTAACTGTGTTGATCACTTTTGTTCAGCTTTTTCTTTGAATGAAGAGAAAATCTTATGGGTGAAAATATACCAAGAAATGCATAAAAATTAAAATCATCACCTCAATTTTAAAATAATTTGAGCAGTATTAAATTATAAAGTGCAACCAAAATATTTTATCCCTATAATGTTGTTCAGTCATTTCACTCATGTTTAATTCTTTGTGACCCCATTTGGGGTTTTCTTGGCAGAGATTCTGGAGTGGTTTGTGATGTCCTTCTCCAGATCATTTTATACATGAGGAAATTGAGGTAAACAAGGCTAAGTGACTTGTCCATGTTCACAGAGCTAATAAGTATTTGAGGCCAGATTTGAATTCAGGTCTCTCTGACTCCAGGCTGGTCCTCTATCCACTACACCATCTAGCTGCCTCCCATATCTTTCATTTATTATTATTGCTATTGTAATGACTATTTTTCTCTTCAGCTAAATTAGGGTCAATTTTTAACCCATTCTGCCTATTACTTCCCATTGTACTTTAAAAAAAAAACTTTTTTTTTCCAGGTCACTTGTAAAATGCACGCACTTTTTAGTAGCAGGCATTTTATCATTGTTGGCTATTTTGATTATAGGTGCAGGATCCTGTTTTATATGGCACCTTGCTACTGTGGAAATTTTTTTTCTTTTGGCTGTTTTGAGTAAGAAATTCTCTGCCAAGCAAAACAGTAGGAGGGAAACTATAAAAGAGCTTGAAAATACTAAAAAAAGAAATAAGTGAACAAGCAGTGATCTCAACATAACTGGGAGTACTATTCCCATGACCTATGACCAAAAAAGGGTGAAAAAAAGAAAAGAAAATGTACATAATCAAGAATGGATTTCTTTTCAGAACCACAGACCTTTATCTTTAAAGGGAGCAGTATTCACTCTAAATAGCATGCGAGCAGTTATGCTAAAACAAAATATTCTAACCCACGGCTGAGATAAGATTGCTGAAAATCAGACAAATCTGATTTAAATTTCCTCCTCAAAGAGGGTTTATAAAGTAAAGAATGATACAAAGTGGTTTCAGCAAAGAAAGCCATGTTATGAACCATCTTTGCTTGTTGCAGGTTTTGCAGCTTACCATAAAAAATGAAATCAGCAAAGCTATGTGGTGATATAAGCAGCAAAGAATTTTGCTCAAACCAGGCAGGCTAAATGAGCTCTGATAATATGTACAATTATAAAATAAAACTGCAAACATGGTTGGATATTTAATGGCAACAGTGCTTTAAAAATTAATTATATACCATCTTTGACCCAGGCATACCATTCACCATTCAATGATTTATTTAAGCCACAAATAGCTTGCAATACTTAAACTCAGATTAGTACTGAAGATGAAATACAGTAATACAAAGTCTCTTGTAGTTAGCATAAAAATGTTTCATTTTTACAAATGGAATAACTTAAATAAATCAAATTGGACCCAATTTCAAGTTTGTTCCCCCTTCCCCAACCAACAATTTTTTGGGGCAAAAGACTACTCACAGAAGAGATGTAATTCCATTTTGGAGGGCAGAAGTATATCAGTAGCTATATGGGAAACAGGTCATTTATTTGATGTTACCCTGATGCCTTGGAAGAGTTCATTAATCTTGCAAGGGTAAACAGCTTACCATAATCATAGGATCTAGCTTGACATCGTTTATATCTCCTGACAGTTATATCACATTTCTCCACTCAGCTCAGAGCACATTAGAAACATTTCTCCATTTTTCCTCAAAGAGGCACTGTTTTCCCTTTCCATTCACACAGATGTTTCTATTAGCTAGGAACAGTCTATCTGTCCTTAAAATGGTTCTTGAATCCATCCTTCTAAATGTCATGAAGTGCTAAAGTTGGTCTAATGGCCAAGCAGAATTGGCCTAAAGGGATAAAACCAGACTACCTGCTCCTTAGCAGAGCACAATCATTTATTTGTCTGGATTTCTGTGGAGTAATCTATGCTTGCGGTACTTTTGAGCGACCAAAGGAAAGAGAACAGTGGCCTTCCTTTCCTGAAAATTTCCCACAGTCATCTGGTATCATGTCCACCAAGTCATAGAGCAGCTAAGTGGTACAGTGAGTACAGTGCCAGGCCTAGAGTTAGGAAGACTCATCTAAGTGAATTCAAATCTGGCCTCATACCCCAACTATCTGTGTGACCCTGGGCAAGTCACTTCACCTTGTTTGCCTCAGTTTCCTCATCGATAAACTGAGTTGGAGAAGTGGCAAGCCACTCCAGTATTTCTGCCAAGAAAACCCCAAATGGGGTCACAAAGAGTCTGTAACAAATGAATAACAACAAATTCAGCAAGTTGTCCACTCCTGGGGAGTACCACTATTGGCTTTCCTCTAATGGCAATCAAATTCAACGTTAAGACAAGGCAGCACAGTGTGGTAAAAAGAATGTTTGATTTGGATTCAAAAGACCTGAGTTCATAGGTCAGCTTGGCTACTTAATATCGATGTTGGGTAAGTGCTATAGTGGAAAAAGTACTAAATTTAAAGTCAGAAAGACCCAAGTTGATTTATTGCTAGCTGGGTGACATTTGGCACCTACTATATGGCAGATGGTCACTATACTAGAGCTTGTTGATACTAGGAGAAAAGTAAAATAAAGCTCTTAAATCATGACATTTATATCCTAACTAAGGAGATGAACACACTCATATATAAGTATATTCAACATGGATAAAACACAGATAAAATGAAACTTTTGAGGGTGGATTCACTAGCGACTAGGAGGAACAGGAAAGTCTCATGTAGAAGAAGGTGACACTTGAGTTAGGTCATGAAGTAAACTAAGGATCCTAAAAGGTAAAAGTGAGGAAGAAGTAATTTCAGCTATGAGTGTCATGTAAAGCAACGACACTGAGATGGGAGGTAGGATGTCACAGAGGAAGAAGAGTCCACGAAGGGGAGCAATGTGCAAAAAGTTTGGAAAGGTAAGTTGGGGTCAGTTTGTAAACAGCCTTTAAGGTCACACAAAGGCATTTGTTTGGTTCCTAGAGGTTATCACCTCTAGAAACCTTTATAATTTTGACTTATGGAGTGACATGGCAAGGCATGCCCTTTGGGAAAATCATTTTGACAGCTATGTGACACATAGACTGCAGAAGGGAGAGATATGAGGCAGGGACACTGCTCAGGAGGCTATTACAATGAAGGCAAATCATTTAGTCACTCAGGGCTATATTGAGCTCATCTGTAAAATGAAGGGATCTTTATAAATCTTATGATAACAAGTACTAATCATCAGAGAAAAAATCTGGAAGTGCTTTAGAGGCTGGCAATTTTTTGTTAGCTGCATATTTGTGAAAATATTTAATTATTTAATTTAAATAATCAAATTTAAATATTTTAGTTTTTTAGTATTTAAATACTTAAATTTAGATTTAAATATTCCACCTATGTTGCAGTTCTCTGTTGGGTAAAAGGCAATTTGTAATTTTTTTTTCTCTTCTACCTGTCTCTGATAGTTAAGCCTATTTCTGGTTCTAAAACTGAAAAACAGATAGAAGTAGGAAGATAGATACAGAAAAAAGAAAGCCCTATCAAATTCTTTATAGGAGGGACCTGTGTGGTAGGTCCCAGGCCATTTATCATTATTCTCAATAAGAAGATTAGGAAGATAAACCAGAAAAATGATTTGTATCATGTCAATCATTAACTGGAAAGTTAATGCTCACTTTTTTTTTTAGCAGACTTTACCCAGTTGCTAAGAGGTCCCATAATTGCTCCCTGAGAGTTGTATCCACCATGACAGTACAACGAAGAGGAAATATCTCACTGTTTACTAATATATGTTTACCTAGGTCTGCTATGGTCTCAGGTTACTTGAAGATCTCAATTAAATCTTCAAATGATAGACAGCTACAAAGGATGGTGAACTTAGCAGATAACCAAATAGAACATGCAAAAAGTCTGGAAAGATAGGCTGAAAATAACATGATGAAATGTAATGGGATAAAGGCCTGCATGATGTAGTGAGTAAGGCCTGCACTTAAAAAGGCATGGGACACAAAAAAGCCCTGAGTGCAAGTCCAACCTTTGATACATACATATATACTGGCTATGTGACCCCAAGCAAATCAATTAAGCTCCTTCTGATGACTCAAACAATACTCTTAAGGCTATAAGTTATACAGCAGATGAAGGATTAGGGTAGAGTCCCTTACTAGGAGTTTCCTCTTGCACCAATGAAATCACAAGCCTGATCTTAAAAAAAAGTCCTAAGGCTGAATTCAGAAATTCAACTATAGGAATACAAAATGGAAAAGCACGGATAGAAAGTAGTGGCTAAAGAGTTTTATTTTAGGGGCAGCAAGGTGGTACAGTGGATAGAGCTCCAGCACTGGAGTCAGAAGGACCAGAGTTCAAATCTGGCCTGAGACACTTGACATTTACTAGCTGTGACCCTGGGCAAGTTACCTAACCCCAATTGCCTCACAAAAAAAAGAATTTTATTTTAGTTGTCTTTTAGTACAGTAGTTGAAATGGGAAGCAGTATATCATAGCTGTTAGAGAAATGGATTTTTTGTCAAAAACTCCTCAGTTAAAAATCTACCTCAGACACTCACTCATTAGCTGTGGGACAACGGGCAAGTCATCAAGCCTCTCTCCCTCAGTTCTTTGTTTATCTGTAAAGTTGGAATAGGAATTCCTCCAAAACAGAGTTATTGGATAACATCTACAAGTTGTTTTGCAAACCCTGAAGCACTTCGATGAATGACAGGTATAATGACTTAGAAAGAAAATTAACATGAAAATACACAAATTATATTACTTTACCATTCTGACCAGTATTTTTTCTGATTTCTCAATAATTATCTCACAAATTTGCATCAAAGACCTAATGACTGAATTCTGGATTTTACCTACCTGAGGTACCCATTTAGAAGATACAAAGCTGGTTACTTCTATTACTGATAAGCCTGTTTTGGAAAGTTGGTTGATAAACTCAATTTTTATATCTGTAGGTACAATGACCTAGAAAAGAAAAAAAAACTTCAGTATTAATATACTGAGAGACTTGTAGTTTGCAGGAAGAAAAATAAATTCATCCAAAGGCAACAGATTTACAAAATGAAATAACAGATGGAAAGACTTTGATAAATCTTAAAGCATTATATAGATGCTAGCTTTTAATACTATTAAAGCAATTATGCAAATACTTACTAAGGATACATATTTGTGCATACTTATATCTGTACATGTCTTCCTCCAATAGAATGTAAGTTCCTTGAGGACAGGGATAGTTTCATTTTTGTCTTTTTTTATCACCAGGACCTAGCATAGTGTCTGGCATGAAGTTGGTACTTATGAAGTATTTGTTGATTAATAAATGATGCTATTCATAAAATACTACTTGATATTTTTAATAAGAACATTCAATTAATATTTAGCATAAATCTTGTGAATATATCCATTTACCTTTTCATTTTGTAAGCCATCCCTGGGTCCAACTTCTACTATTTTAACATACTCAGGAAATCCTGATAATTGTGTTACCTGAAAAAAATCATAAGAAAAAAGATAACTTCTAAATTATCATGATTACTCAATTAAAATTGAAGAATCACTATAATGGTTGGACAGACCCTTTAGTTTAACTACAATTGAACAAAAAATGTCTTTATACCAGATTCAGCAAGTGGTTTATTGTAATCAATTAATTCATATTTATAATTCAATTCAATTCATATTTATAATTTTTTGCCTGACATTATTCAAGGTGCCAGGATCCAAGTACATACACAAAATAATTACTGCCCTCAAGGAGCTTACATTCTACTGGGAAGATAAAAAATATGCAAAGATATACAAATAAAAGGTAATTTGAGGAATAAGGGAGAATTAACTTCTTGGGGGCATCAAGAAAATATTCAATGAAGAGAAAGAACTGAACTGAATGAACCTAGTACTTAACAGTATCTGACATAAAGTAGGTACTTAGATGCTTTTTGGCTTAGAAGAAGAAAGATTTCTGAGAGGAAACAGTGAGGAAGAAATGAATACCATGGTAGAAGAAAGATTACACAACTGCTAGAGACCCGGATGTAATGCAGAGATTTTTGTTGTTCCGTCATGTTCGATTCTTTGTGACCCTATTTGGGATTTTCTTGGCAAAGATAATGGAGTGATTTGCCATTTCCTTCTCTGGCTCATTTTATAAATGAGGAAACTGAGGCAAACAGGTTTAGGTGACTTGGGGGGTTCACACAGAAGTAAGTGTCTGAGGCCAGATTTGAATTCAGGAAGATGAGTCTTTCTGACTCCAAGCCTGAATTTTTATCCACTGTGCCTGCTAGCTGAGCCATGCAGAGATTGGGAAATAGCTTTTAGTCTCCAAAGATTTTAATACTAATATAGGAAGACCATATCTATCTCATTTTTAGAAACGGTATATGCCCTGGAGTTGGGTAAGTATATTGGCCCATTCCTGAAGGACATGTGTTCTAGCCCCTTCCTGGGTGGTATGCAATGAACTCCCACGATCCATACCCAGTGACTGGTGATGTTACCTAATGATAGTGACTAAGAATACGGGATTGGGAACATTCTTTTAAATAATAAACCCTTCCCCCCCCAATTAATGTAAGCTGCAAAATCACTTTATATTTTGGATCCCTTTGGAAGATCTCTCTTCCATGAACTTTTTTTTTTCATTGAGGTCACTTTATTATTTTACAGAAAAGGGGTAATCTTGAAACGGTAAATTTAAATGTTAAAATTGTTAAATGTTAAAACTAAACATGTCAATAAAACTTTAAAAAGTTAAGACCTCACATGCACCCCTCCCAAAATAAACTTTAAAGTACTTGGAAAAATTAATAAAATAAGGGCAGCTAGGTAGCACAGTGGATAGAGCAGCTTCCCTGGAGTCAGGAGGACCTGAATTCAAATTTGACCTTAGACACACCCTACCTGTGTGATCCTGGGCAAGTCACTGAACTCCAACTGCCTCAAAAAAAATAATAAAATGACTTTTTGCAGTCTGTCACCTTTAGTAGTATCTATAGATCCTTAACAAGTTACAGAATCCAGCACAAGGTGTGGTTGTTGAAGTAATGCTAATTGGGGGGAGGGACAGAAGGAGAGAAAAGAACTAAGGATTCTTTGGGTGTCTCCTACCTATCCTTCTGTTTCTTTGCCTCCTGGCATTAATCATTGGCTTAGGAGTCCAGAAACTGAGACAACTAACATCCCCTATCTGTACCTCAAGTACAGATACTTGAACTTTTAAATGGGAATGATTTGCCTTTGACCAATCCACAGCTGAAATAAGGACTTACAGCAGAAGCACAAGTTCACCCTGGTCTATGCCTGCCTAGGTAAACTGGAGTCTAGAGGCTTCCAGTTCCTAGGATTCCTTCTTCTGCCTTTCTATTTCATTTTCTGAGCATAGGTTGGTAGCTAATGATCCCAAGAAATGTATGAGACCTCCAACTAAATAGGTCTAGGATAGCATTAGGAGTTACTTCATGAGTAATCTTGATTTTGAGAATTTATGAAATTTCTGCATTAGGCACTAGCTACCCAGAAAGAGAAAATTTCCTTAATAATACAATTTTTAGAGAAAAAAAAAAGGAACACCAAAGGAAAGATGTTGCAGTAAGGTAACCAAATCCATAAGATGAAAGGGTCAAGAAATTTGGAAGTTTCAGCCTCCTATGACAATGGCTATGAATTGTTCAAATAGTACAGGTCTGAGGTGAATAAAAAACATCCGTTCAGTAGTTCCACAAAGGGTCTTTACCTTCTGGGGCAGAATAGTGATTGTAATACATAATGTAATACATCCTATATTCATTCACGTGCATCTTTGAGTCTTTTCTATATTTTCTGTAATGAAGAAATAAAATCATTCTTTATGAGATGTCTGTAAGTAACAATGGGTATTTTTGTAGGAGGGAACCTGATCATACACTTTGAGGGAAATACTATTTATGGGACACATCTAAGCTTTGTTTCAGAGATTTTACCAGAAACTTACTCCAGGGTTGAGACAAAGGCAAAGACAGAAGTTGGCCTCTTTTAGGGTCAACCCTCTCCTTAAATGAACCTGGGTCTGCGTGAGTGCAGAATCCCTCAGGATTACGCCCTGGGCTACAGGATACACTAAGGTTTTGAAAATGTGAAAACATTTCTATATGAAATATTTTCCTAATCATACTTCCCTTAAACATTAAACTTGAAACGAGATTTTAATTTGTTTGAGGATGTGGACTATGTTCTATATTTCCTTTCTATGCCCCATAGCACCCTAGAAATCAACCAACAAATATCTGAGTGCCTGCTATTTGTAGTACTCTGCTAACAGCTGTGGGGGAAAAGAAAAAAATTAGGATCCCAGTCCCTTGTATCTGCTTTGAGAGACTTGGAGGCCAACACAGAAAAAGCTTAGTAGCCTAGACTAATGTCAAAAGTATTAAGCCTTTGATTATGGGTGTATTTACCTCTCACAACGGAAAGCAAAAATCGAAGGCAATTAATACCTCAGGATGGAGACGAGGAGAGTGGAAGGGGAAAGGACCAAAGGACACATCAGATCACTTGAAAAACAATTATAAATCACATCTCTGGAGGCAGCAGGATACACGAGTCTTGGGAGGCACCTGGGTTCAAGTGCAATAATCCCTAGGTCCAACAGCAAAAGAACCTTGGATTCAGGTCAGAGATCACCTTCCTCAGTTGGCACCTGGGTTATTCCATACTCTCAGTCACTTGTCTACTTCTTCAGTGTATGATCCTGTAATATGGCACAATCCACAGTGTTTTATAGGCAAGGGTGTGGTCTCCTTCAGGTTCATCTGACCCTTCTGCCTCTAATGTCAATGGCAGGGAGGCACCAATTGTACAGGTTGTATGGGTGATACAAGTTTCTGGAAGGGAGAGTCCAAATGTGAAGATCTCCAGAAAAAGGCCAAAGAAACAATAATAGACAGGTGGGGGAGACATCTCTAGAGCACGGTCACCCCCAATGCTGAAGCCAAACCACTTTGTGCAGTGGGGAAGGAATATCTTAATAATATTAATCTTAATATCTTAATAATAATAACCTTAATAATTTAACTATCTTAATAATATTAATAGTATCTTAGTTATAGGGATGGTTTTTGAACATTTAGAAATGAAAGTGGTGATAAATGAAAGCCAATATGAGTTCTTCAATAACAGAACATGCCAGACTATCTTTATTTCCTTTGCTAATGATTCTAGAATGATTGACTGGGGAATGCCATATATTGCAATTTCAGCAACAAATTTGTCATAATCTTTCATAATATCCTTTCGTCAAAAAAATCAAGTGAAAGGTTAGATAATAATATCCATAAGTAGATTCAGAAATGGTTATATGATGGGTCAATTTCAAAGTGGTAGGTTTTTAATGTACTATCTCAAGTATTTGTCCCTTGCCTCTCTATTGAACAGCACTATAATCAGTGATTTGGATAAAGGTATAGGTAGGATATTTAAAATACAATATTCACATAATACAAGTCTGGAAGGGATAGTTAATAGACTCCATAATTTAATAGATTTAATCCCAACAGCTTGTTGGATAAAGGCAAATTTTGATAATACTGTTTCAGTTCACCTTAATTTGTTTCTCCCCTCTGATTGGATTGCTGGAGGGTGGAATACTGAACTCCTCCCACATACTTCCTTTAAAAGAGGTCTCACAACCTTCCAGGTAACTCCATTTTACATCAGCATCTCTGTTTGCCTTGAACTCCCCAAGACACCTTAGTGTCTTCTTCACCTGTCTTTACAGCTTCCTTTTCTGTGTTGTCTTCCCACATTAGAATGGGAGCTCCACAAAGGCAGAGATCATCACTCTTTCTTATTTGTATTCTTAGTGCTTAGCACAGTGCCTGAGGCAGAGCAGACACTTAATAAATCTGGAATTGAAACTGATTGAATTAATGACAGAATAAGAACTAGAAAATATCTTGACAGATTAGAATGAAAGTCTGAATCTAATAAAATGAATAACATATATATATACATATATATATGTAAAATATGTTATATATGGGTAATATAATTATTACATTTTACTATATATTACATAATTACATAATTTCATTACATATAATATATAAAAGTGTTTTATATATATATGTATATGATATAGATATATATAGATATATATGATATAGATGGGGTATGTGTGTGTGTGTGTGTGTGTGTGTGTGTGTGTGTGTGTGTAATACTTCACTAGAGTTTTTAAAAAAAAAAACTATACAATTCCAGAATGGTGAAGTCTCACCTAGCAGGAGAGGCTAAAGAAGAGCAAAAACAGAGAAAGAAAATTATAAACAAATTTTCCTAATAAATATTGATGCAAAAAATTTAAACAAAATATTAGCAAAGAGATTACAGCAATTTATCAAGAAGATAATACACTATGATCAGGTGGGATTTATACCAGGAATGCAGGCATGTTTCAATATTGGGAAAACTATTAGCATAACTGACCACATCAATATCAAAATCAACAGAAA